CCTGGGAGTTCTGGCACGAGGCCTTCATTACAGCATTGTGCCACTTATTGTTCTGGCTGAAACTTCTGTACCCTCATCTACAAATTCCTTTTCTCAGTTCCCTCAGCAAGTCACACGGGACTTCTCTCCCCTCTAAAAAACGCTTCAGGTAGCGCACAGCAGTCGAAGTCACATCTCTATTCTGCACGACCAGGTAGACGTTTCAACAGTCCCTCTTGCCTGGAATATTGGCGAATGATTCTTCCTAAGGTGTCCTCTTGGTATGTTTAAACATCTTTGCAATCTTCTTATAGCCATTGCCCTTCCTGTGAAGAGAAATCACCTCTTCTCTTGTCTTCCTGGACCATTCTCTTGCCTTCACCATGTGGTTTGTAACCACACCAGTAAATGTCTAGAAGGAGCTGAGTATCACAGTCATTTTAAAGCTGCCTAATTGGTGCTTATTATTGCTTGATTGCTGCTCGGCTGTAGCTGTTAAATCTCCAAGAGACCTCTCAGTTCTTCAAAGGGATGATCCTACAGAACAGGAAAATCTCCTCGTTGCTCAATATGTTAAGCTTTAAGAACCATTTATTAAAATGAAATTAAAACCATTCATAAAATAAGTGCGCTATATCCACCGCACACAGAATAAATCACCTCTTTCAATAAATAATGCTCTTAAGGCTGGGTAATGGCCCCAGACACTTCAACAAGATGGCCGTCTTCCAGTTCCTGTATGCGACGATGTCATCTGGCCACGCCCTTGATGCGTTTCTTCATCCACACAGGACTGCTTTAGAAGGTATTACAAAACGCGTCAAGGGACAAATGACATCATCGCGCACAGGAACCTGAAGCCGGCCATCTTGGTGAAGTATTTGAAGCTTGGAGTCACTGAGCTCCTGAGAGCGACCCATTCTTTCACCAATGTTTGTAGAAGCCGTCTGCATGCCTAGGGGCTGGATTGTATACACCTGTGTCCATGGAGGGGATTGGAACACCTGAATCACATGATATGGAGGGGATTGGAACACCTGAATCACATGAATTGGGGGGCTGGCCCAATATTTTTGGCAATATAGTGTATATTAGGGCAGCCTTTCTCAACCTTTTTACCCCTAAGGAGCCCTTGAAGTAATTTGCAGGTCTCTGGGAGCTCCTATTAAAACCAGTTCATTGGGGGGGGGGGGGGGGGGGGGGGGTTGGAAGAACAGGATTGATAGTTTATTTACACAAAGGTATCCCCCCTCCATTTTATTCCTAGACAATTCAGATTGGGTGTGGCCTTTACAGGAGAACATACTGCAAAAAGAAAATAAAAGCATGGAGCACCCCCAAGTTTTATGCTAGACCATTTGTTATCTAGAATGGATTTGAAGGAGGAACCCCATACAAAAACCAGGGAAAAAAGCATGGAGCCCCCCACAAAATCAATACCAGAACCTTCTCTGAGAATGCAGTTTTGCAGGCCAGGAAAGGGGTAAGACAAGCATGCATCCCCCCATCCTGCCTGAACTATACCAAACCGTATGAGCCAGTGAGAAGCGGCGTGGAAGCCTTCCCTCCCCAACAGTGAGATGAAAAGCTCAATAACATCCATAAACGCACTCATTCTATCTCAGTATAAGAAATGGACACTAAATCGCATACAAGATGGCGTATGATTCCACACAATTTTCCCCGAAGTATAGCACACATGCTTTAGATACATTCAAACACACTTTCTGGAGTTGTAAAGTACTACAACCCCTGTGACACATCTGTGTACAAAATACGGTCTCCCTAAAATGTATGAGTGTATCTAATTATTTGCATTTTTTTAGATTCTATATCTATAGATAAATTCTGAGTATATACACTCACCGGCCACTTTATTAGGTCCTCCTGTTCAATTGCTTGGTAACACAAACTAATAAGCCAATCACATGGCAGCAACTCAATGCATGTAGGCATCTAGACGTGGTGAAGATGATTTGCCGAAGTTCAAATTGAGCATTAGAATGGGGAAGAAAGGAAATTTAAATGACTTTGAACATGGCATTGTTGCTGGTGCCAGATGGGCTGGTCTGAGTATTTCAAAAAACTGCTGATCTACTGGGATTTTCAGGCTCAACCATCTCTAGGGTTTACAGAGACAGGTTCAAAAAAGAGAAAATATCCAGGGATCCGCAGTTGTGTGGATGAAAATGCCTTGTTGATGTCAGAGTTCAGAGGAGAATGGGCAGACTGGTAGTTGCAACATTCAGATGGTAAGGTCAGGGTTTGGCATAGACAACATGAAAGCATGGATCCATCCTGCCTGGTATCAACGGTTAAGGCTGGTGGCAGTGGTGTCATGGTGTGGTGGATCCATCCTGCCTTTTATCAATGGTTCAGGCTGGTGGTGGTGGTGTCATGGTGTGGTGGATCCATCTTGCTTTGTACCCATGGTTCAGGCTGGTGGTGGTGGTGTCATGGTGTGGTGGATCCATCCTGCCTTGTATCAATGGTTCAGGCTGGTGGTGGTGGTGGTGTCATGGTGTGGTGGATCCATCCTGCCTTGTATCAATGGTTCAGGCTGGTGGTGGTGGTGGTGTCATGGCGTGGTGGATCCATCTTGCTTTGTACCCATGGTTCAGGCTGGTGTTGTTGTGGTGTCATGGTGTGGTGGATCCACCCTGCCTTGTATCAATGGTTCAGGCTGGTGGTGGGTGTCATGGTGTGGTGAAACCATCCGGCCTTGTATCAATGGTTCAGGCTGGTGGTGGTGGTGTCATAGTGTGGTGGATCCATCCTGCCTTGTATCAATGGTTCAGGCTGGTGGTGGTGGTGTCATGGTGTGGTGGATCCATCCTGCCTTGTATCAATGGTTCAGGCTAGTGGTGGTGGTATCATGGTGTGGGGGATCCATCCTGCCTTGTATCAATGGTTCAGGCTGGTGGTGGTGGTGTCATAGTGTGGTGGATCCATCCTGCCTTGTATCAATGGTTCAGGCTGGTGGTGGTGGTGTCATGGTGTGGTGGATCCATCCTGCCTTGTATCAACGGTTCAGGCTGGTGGTGGTGTCATGGTGTGGGGGATATTTTCTCGGCACTAGCAAGGTGGACCTAATAAAGTGGCCTGTGAGTGTAGTTCAATGTCTAAAGCTTTGATATGTATCAGTATTAAGTTTTGTCTGTTTTCTTTGCTAGACTTGGAGGATAAAATGTTCTTCTTCCCCAAAGAAACCAGCACAGCTCATGTCATCCTAAGACCAAATATTACAAAGCCATTGCAGAAAGCCAGCGTCTGTCTACATACCTACAGTGAACTTTCACGCCTCTATTCTCTCCTGTCTGGAGCTACTATGAAAAACTTTGATGCTTTTCTAATCATGTTCCAGGCTCCAAACACCCTTAATGTGTACATAAACAACGCACTCGCTGCTTTCAGGATAGACTCAGAGCCTCTGGACTGGAGACACACCTGTGTGGCCTGGGCCTCCGACACTGGATTGGTCCAACTCTGGGTCAATGGGAAACTCTACCTTGGAGGACCTACCATGATAGGGTCTTCTATTGCAGCTGAAATCAGCATTATAGTTGGACAGGAACAAGATTCCTATGGTGGAGGGTTTGATGCTAAGCAGTCATTGGTTGGTGAAATAAGTGATGTCCACATGTGGGACTATGCCCTGACACAAGAAGACATCCAAAAAGTCGTCTCTGGTGATCTCCATGGAAATGTCATTAATTGGAAGTCGCTACTCTATGAAATGAAAGGGGACGTTCTTCTCCTGCCTAAAAATTTGCGTAAGTCTCTAACCTTAAAGCGATGCTAAACGTAGAAGTGTTAATTGCCATCATTCATTCACATATATGTCATGGCAATTTGTTTTCTTTTCCTTCAAGTACCCCTTATTCCTGCAGCTCTGTCGTGTGGTCACATGATCTCTCCCTGTTTTTTTGCATCTGCAGGGAAAGATCCTTGGGGGATGGGGCTTCTATTCCCATATTGAAGAAAAATATATTTGAAATATACTTTTAAAAAATATTCTTCCCAAATATATTGCCATATATTTGAAATGCTCCAATTTTGGCCGTATTCAATATATTTCAATTAAAAAAAAAATTATATATATATATATATATATTATATATATATATATATATATATATATATATATATATGCTGCATGTTGAAATATGTTTTTATTATAAAATATATGAAAAATATATTTTTAAAGATACATTTCAAATATACTGTATGTCTTTACAAATATCAATCTACATTTTTGGAATGCGTTTACAAATATATGTAAGAAATATATCTAAAAATTACTTTTTTATATTTAAAAAAAAATCTGAAGAATATATTTTAAAAAATATATTTTTTTAAAATATATTCTTCAGATTTTTTTGTGGGTTGCTTTGGTAATGTATTTTCTCTATAGTGTTTTAACTGTTTTGCAGCTCCCTATAAATCTTTATTGATCATCAAATGTGTATTTTTTGTGCATTAATATGGTGTAGGTGGAGTCATAGATGATTGACACCAGCTTTCATTTTGTTCACACAGCGTGTGCACCTATGGCTTTTTTATTTCATTTACAGGTATTAGCAATCACATTTGATACATTTAATCAGGAGGAATCAGACAGGGAGATTAAATGATATAAAAGGTAATAGCTGTGGGGGGATGAGCTGATGAAGTAAAATGCAGTGTATTAGTTAGGAGCAGGATAGGCTTCTATATAAGAAAAGTGTTTTCAGGAAGCGCCTAAAGATGGATAGATTAGGAGATAGTCAGACAGATTGGGGTAGGGAGTTCCAGAGGATAGGCGAGGCTCTGGAGATATCCTGGAGGCGAGCGTGGGAGGAGGTGATGAGGAAGCTAGAGCACAAGGTCTTGGGAGTTGTCAAAAGGATAATTTTGGTGGTATTGTAAGATTAGATTAGTTGTGTAGCTGGGGGCAGAGTTGTGGATGGCTTTGTAAGTTATTGTTACTATTCTGAATTCAATTCATGTGAGCGGAAGCCAGTGGAGGGAGGTGAAGGGCACTGAATGGAGGCCAGCGGAGGGATTGGCAGAAACAAGTGAAGGGCACTGAATGGAGGCCAGTGGAGAGATTGGCAGAGAAGGGTGAAGGACACTGAATGGAGGCCAGTGGTGGGATTGGCAGAGAGGGGTGAAGGGCACTGAATGGAGGCCAGTGGAAGGATTGGCAGAGAGGGGTGGAGGACACTGAGTGGGGGCCAGTGGAAGGATTAGCAGAGAGGGGTGGAGGATACTGAATGGAGGCCAATGGAGGGATTGGCAGAAAGGGATGGAGGACACTGAATGGAAGCCAGTGAAGGGATTGGCAGAGTGATATGAAGGACAATGAATGGAAGCCAGTGGAGGGTTTGGCAGAGAGAGGGGGTGGAGGACACTGAATGAAGGCCAATGGAGGGATTGGCAGAAAGGGATGGAGGACACTGAATGGAAGCCAGTGGAGGGATTGGCAGAGAGGGATGGAGGACAATTAATGGAGGCCAGTTGAGGGATTGGCAGAGAGAGGTGAAGGACACTGAATGGAGGCCAGTGGAAGGATTGGCAGAAAGAGGTGAAGAACACTGAATGTAGGCCAATGGAGGGATTGGCAGAGAGAGGTGAAGGGCACTGAATGGAGGCCAGTGGAAGGATTGGCAGAGAGGGGTGAAGGACACTGAATGGAGGCCAGTGGAGGGATTGGCAGAGAGGGGTGAAGGGCACTGAATGGAGGCCAGTGCAGGGATTAGCAGAGAGGGGTGGAGGACACTGAGTACGGGCCAGTGGAAGGATTGTCAGAGAGGGGTGGAGGACACTGAATGAAGGCCAATAGAGGGATTGGCAGAAAGGGGATGGAGGACACTGAACAGAAGCCAATGGAGGGATTGGCAGAAAGGGATGGAGGACACTGAATGGAAGCCAGTGGAGGGATTGGCAGAGAGGGATGGAGGACAATTAATGGAGACCAGTGGAGGGATTGGCAGAGAAGGGTGGAGGACACTGAATGGAGGACAGTGGAAGTATTAGTAGAAAGGGGTGGAGGACACTGAATGGAGGACAGTGGAGGTATTAGCAGAAAGGGATGGAGGACACTGAGTGGAGGACAGTGGAGGGATTGGCAGAGAGGGATAGAGGACACTGAATGAAGGCCAATAGAGGGATTGGCAGAAAGGGATGGAGGACACTGAATGGAAGCCAGTGGAGGGATTGGCAGAGTGGGATGGAGGACAAGGAATGGAGGCCAGTGGAGGGTTTGGCAGAGAGGGGTGGAGGACACTGAATGGAAGCCAATGGAGGGATTGGCAGAAAGGGATGGAGGACACTGAATGGAAGCCAGTGGAGGGATTGGCAGAGAGGGATAGAGGACACTAAATAGATGCCAGTGGAGGGAAGGATTGGCAGTGAGGGGTGGAGGACACTGAGAGGAGGCCAGTGGAGGGATCGGCATAGATGGGTATTAGACACGGAACAGTTGGTAAGGTGGATGACCCTGGCAGCAGTATTCATGATGGACTGGAGGGGGGACGGCCTGTGTAAAGGTAATCCAATGAGGAGGGAGTTGCAGTAGTCAAGACGAGAGATAACCAGGGAGTGAATTGTGAGCTTTGTGGTGTGATTGGTCAGGAAGTATTTTGAAGATGTTGCGGAGGTTGAGGCGGCATGATTTGAACAGTGATTGGATGTGGGGCAGAAAGAATAGTTCAGAGTGCAGGATTACACCCAGCACCATGGCATGTGGGGACTGGTTGATGGTCGTTCTTTACAGAGAAATCAAGAGAAGAGGCACGTGGGGGAGGTAATATTACAAGCTCGGTTTTGGATAGATTGTGTTTGAGGAAGTGGAGTGACATCCAGTCTGATATGTCTGTTAGTAAATTAGTGATACGTGAGGAAACTGATGGGGTGAGCTGAGGAGCAGAGAGATAGGTTTAGGTGTCATCAGCATAGAGATGGTATGGGAGGGCATAGGAGGCTTCAGCTGACCCAGGGAGGAGGTGCAGGTAGGAGAGATCCAAGAACAGAATTTCAGGGGACCCTGGCGGGAAAAGGAATGGGAGGGGAGGAGGTGAGTTCGGTGTATTTAGGTTTTGTGCTGCCCTAGGCAACACAAAAATTGGACGCCTCCCTCCCCGGCAGAGAGAGAGCCTCACACCAACCAACACCAGACCCCCCACCTTCCCTGCAGAGAGAGCCTGACAGTTACCCAACAACACCCCTTCCCCATTCCCCCCCACCTGAGAGCCTTCCACTAACATTCACTCCCCCTATGGTGACAGAGAGAAAGACACTCACCTTCACAGCTCTGGACATCCCCGGGAACGTCAGTTGGGCTCCGCATACACAATCAAGAAGCCTGCAGCCTCTCTCTCAGATCCCCCCTGGTCTCCATGCCACATATGTCCCTTCTTCCAAGGGGCAGTGCTGTCCCCCAGAAAATACCACCCTAGGCAAAGGCCTTGTTTGCCTTGTGGTACACCCCTGGATAGAGTTGTAAGAGACAGTGAAGGAGTGGAGAGATGGGTAAGATGAGAATGAATGAAGATGAAAGAATATTCTTTCAAAATTATGATAGTCCTATAAAGTGGAACTCCGAGGAAATAAAAGATATGTAAATTCAGTGCCTGTCCCATAGTCCTGCATTGTAGGTGGGGGCACTACGGGCCCACCCACAAGACGGATCATCAGAGGGAAGAGGTGAGTGTCGGCTATCAGGGGAGTGAGGGATAAGTAAAAGTGCTTATTGTTGGCACCCTAATCAAAATCCAACATTTAACCCTTGAAGTGTGAGTGAGTGCGGGTGTGTGTGGAGGGGGGGGGGGGAGGAGCATTACTGACGTAGTGTTTTTATATTCCCGGGATTTAGCTTTAGTTTTTTTTAATCAGCCTTCGAGCATTATTATACTAATGAAATGTACTGACCAGGGGCGGGCTGACAATTCATGGGGCCCCCGGGCAATAGGGGACCATGGGACCCCTGTGTCCTCGCCCACACTCAAATCACACCCAAAAAAGCCTATGAAAGGTACCAGGGACATCTCATGGGGCCCCCTACTGACCCTGGGCCGTCAGGCAGTGCCCGAGTTCCCCAATGGTCAGTCCGCCCCTGGCACTGACTGTATATCGATATTACTGACACATTAGAGTGGTCCTAAAATGCAGATGATTTTTTTACCTCAATGTATTTTCTACATTAAAGTAAAAAAAAAACCTTCTGAGTGCAGCTCCCCCTCCCAGCCCCCCCCATACTTATCTGACCCCAATCTCAACCCAGCACTGTGCCATAAAGCACAGCCTCTCTCCGCTATCTCCCTCCTCATTGGCCATTGGCTCCCCCTCCTGTTAATCATAGCCAATGAAGAGAGAAAAGGGGCAGGGTGGAGCTTCGTTCTGTGTGCAGCGAGCACACACGAGTGCCCCCCAGAGTAAACAGCTTGCTATGGGGCACCTGGCAGGGGGGATGGGCCAGGAGCGCCAGCAGGGGACCTGAGAAGAGGAGGATCGGGACTGCTCTGTGCAAAATCATAACACAGAGCAGGTAAGCATGACATGTTTGTTATTTATATAACATAAGAATAGATCCTTTACAATCACTTTAATGAATGCGGCACCCCGATTATATCCCTGGTAGTGTTAGAGCTTCTATACTTCTACAGCTTAGGTCTTCTTTGCTTTAATTAACATGTTAGCAGAACATTTGGAGACAAAAGTAAGTCCCTTGATTGGCCAACTGAGTAGATGACTGAGGTAAGCTGCCAAAACACTTTAGTTACTGGATCTGAAAGCACACATATACACAAAACAGAAAGGAATAGACTGACCTTCCGAGATACATAGATGTGCGCACAGGGTGTGGCAGATGTGCCTGGGCACGCCCTAATCACCTAAACATTACAGTTCTTGCTCTGTGTGCCAATGATGAGATGGTTGCTCCCATTTCTCTTTCACTCTGAATCTGCAAGTAGTGAGATGATGTGCCCTCAGGGGGATCAAAAAGATACGCATGTGTGTTTGAGCTTTGGGGTGCTCACCCTAATACAATAGGCTGCGCACACTTATGCTGAGATACATGGGAGTATCCAACTGGTTTTTTTTTTTTTTTTTAGATTTTACCATCTATAAAATAAATTCAGACTTTATTGTTCATCATCTAAAGCTTTGATCTGTAGCAGTAATGATTTTATCTGTTTCCTTCCCTAGACTTGGAGAGTAAAGTCTTCGTCTTCCCCAAAGAAACCAGCACAGCTCATGTCATTCTAAGACCTGAAATTACAAGACCATTGCAGGAAGTCAGCGTCTGTCTACGTTCCTATACTGACCTTTCCCGCCCCTATACTCCCTTCTCTCTTGCTACTCCCGGGAAGGACAACGCCTTTCTCATCTACCTACAGCCCCCAAAAACTTGTTCTGTATATATTAACCAGGAAGTCACTCATTTTAAGACAGACTCGGAGTCTTTGGACTGGAGGCACATCTGTGTGACCTGGGACTCCAACACTGGAGTGGTCCAACTTTGGGTCAATGGGAAACTCTACCCCAGAAGAGTCTCCATGAAAGGGTCTTCTATCGCACCTAAGACCAGCATTGTCCTGGGGCAGGAACAAGATTGTTTTGGTGGAGGGTTTTGATGTTTCTCAGTCATTGGTTGGTGAAATAAGTGATGTCCACATGTGGGATTATGTCCTGACACCAGGAAATGTACAGAAGGTCATCTCTGGTGGTCTCCTTGGAAATGTCATTAATTGGAATTCTCTAGTCTATGATATCAACTGGGAAGTTCTCATCCAGCCAAAACCTTAATGCAACCAGCTTACAATATACATCTTTGGGCGGATTTACTAAAGGCAAAGAGGCTGTTTACTTTGCAAGGGAATTTCCCTTAGTATATGAGGTGAAGCTCTGATGACTTCCAACATTTAGTTTGAGGGCACATCTGTGTGACCTGGAACTCCGACACTGATAAAGACCACCATTGGGTCAATGAGAAACTCAGACGTGAAGCTCTGCTGACTTCCAACCACTCTTATTTTCCCGACATGTGATTGGAGATTCTTAGCAAAATGAATTGTCACCACATTGACTTATGCAGGCCATAGATGGGGGAGAAAACCGGCCGGTTTTTCTTTAAAAAAAACGAAAAATCGGTCGTTCAATAGGCCGACGTTACCAGGAACGGTAAAAAAAAAATCGGCTGATTTTCATCCCGTCTACAGCCGGCAAAAAGTGTCTCTGCAGAGAGCTCTGCTATTTCTTTGACATTTATAGCGGCTGCAATATTGTATCTATTTGTATCCATTTTGGATACAGATGTTTTTATTGGGAAACAAATAGATACAATGTTGCAGCCGCTATAAATGTCAAAGAACTGTCAAAGAAATAGCAGAGTTCTCTGCAGAGACACTTTTTGCTGAACTGGAATTCTTCTTCTTCTTCTTCATCCTCTTCTTCTTCTTCTTCTTCATCTTCTTCATCCTCTTCTTCATCCTCTTCTTCATCCTCTTATTCTTTTTCTTCTTTTTGTCTTCTTCTTGCAGGTCACGGCTCATACGCAGATTTTTTATCGGTAAAAAGATCGGCCGATTTGCTCATAATTGCTGCGAAAATCGGCCGATCTTTTTCCAACTTTACCGATAAAAAAAATCTGCCAAAATACCAAAAAAAGGCCGACCTATTAACCCTCTAATGATCCGAAAATCGGCCGATTTTTATTTTCGGCCGAAAAATCGGCCGATTTTTGACCCGTCTATGGCCTGCATAAGCTAAGTGAGAATTCTCTTTCAAACAGAGCCACCTGTTTGCCTTTAGTAAATGATCTTCTCTGTTCCTTAAGGCTCCCCAACTGCTGCTTCTGAATACCATTTAACCACTAGGGGACCACCCACAGTACATTTACTGTGGCAAAGCTGCCCCTGTAGGCAGGATCACTTTTATAAACATCATCCTGTGTACATGGTAGGGGTGAGTGTGAGGCACGCGAACGCCCTACCCGTGGCACCAATCGCAGCCACGGGTGTCAATCACCGGGTCCCGGCCCGTGATTACCAGCTGGAGCCCGGTGTTTGCCGGCAAACACTGACAGGGAGCAGAGCTGCATTGTTTTCAATGCAGCTCTCTTCCCTGTCAGTTCCTAACACACTGTTCCTGACAGCAGAACTTAGCTTTCCAAGACAGTGTGTAACAGTGAAGCACACACCCCGCCCCCTAGTGAAACACTCCCCTCACACAGTTAACCCTTTGATTGACTTTTAATGTTAACTCCTCCCCCCCAGTGCCATTAGTACAGCGTCAGTGCTTTTTTTTTTTGCACTAATCACTGTATTGGTGTCACTGGGGATATCAGTGACCCCAAGTCAGTTCCCCCCCAGTGTCAGAATGTCTGCTGCAGTCCCGCCATAATTCGCTGATCGCCACCATAAGTCGCTGATTGCCACCATAAGTTGCTGATTGCCACTATTATTAGTATAAAAAAAATCCAGTATCTATACCGCCATTTGTGCACGCTATAACTTTCACGTAAACCAATTATTTACAGGTATCGGGATTTTTTTTACCAAAGACACGGAGCAGAATGCATTTTGGCCGAAATTTATGATGAAATTTGATTTTTACATTTTTTTACTGGACATGTATAATAGCAAAAAGTCCAAAATATATTTTTTTCTCAAAATTGTCCGGTTTTTTTTTTGCTTACAGCGCAAAAAAAATAACAAAACGGCACAGGCGATCAAATACCACCGAAAGAAACCTCCATTTGTGGGGAAAAAAAAGGACGTAAATTTCATTTTAAATTGTCAGTTAAAGTAATGCAGCACCGTATCACAAAAAATGGCCGGGTCAGGAAGGGGGTGAATCCACCGGAGGGCAAAGCACATGAAAACACAAGATTCAAATAATAGTTTTTTTTTTTTACAACTAACAATATTCCTTACTTGTAATTGTATAATCTTGTTAAAAGTAATAAATACTAATATAAACAATAAGAAATAAAAATACAATCTGTATTTTTTTCCTGTGATTTTGGTTTTGTTCTAAATCGTGAAATCTGATTGCTTAGTTATAAGTGACTTGTCCCCCCCTTCCTTCTATTGCAAGTATTTGTAGGAGGTAATAAGGGGCAGAACCAAAGAAGAGATCCCATGAACACTACCAGCCTATCACGGGGGGCCATGAGTGTGGTAGCTGGGATCTGGTAAGTCCAAGAACAATCACCGCCCTGCAGATAACTATAATTTACTTATAAAACTCATCATAAAAGATAAGCATTCTGCATGGGCCCTCCGACCAATAACATATTATCCATCATACAGCACCAGGAAATATTCTGACCGTTCAATGCAAAAAGAGTGTTTAGGGTTGACTTAGACCTTTCAAGTCTAATGCAGAGCATTAATATGTGTATGAACGGGCTTGTAGGTGGGGCCTAGGCCAGGGGTGGGCAAACTTTTTGACTTGAGGGCCGCAATGGGTTCATATATTGGACCCGGGGGCCGGACCAAGAGTAGATGAATGATGTGTATGTGTCATCCATAGTAAGTATAGTAATATTCCCCCATAGTAAGCATAGTAATTAATCCCCCATATAGTAATTCATCCCCCATAGTATTTCATCCCCCATATAGTAATTCATCCCCCATATAGTAATTCATCCCCCATATAGTAATTCATCCCCCATAGTAATTCATCCCCCATAGTAATTCATCCCCCATATAGTAATTCATCCCCCATATAGTAATTAATCCCCCATAGTAATTCATCCCCCATATAGTAATTCATCCCCCATATAGTAATTCATCCCCCATAGTAATTCATCCCCCATATAGTAATTCATCCCCATAGTAATTCATCCCCCATATAGTAATTCATTCCCCATATAGTAATTCATCCCCCATAGTAATTCATCCCCCATATAGTAATTTCATCCCCCATATAGTAATTAATCCCCCATAGTAATTCATCCCCCATATAGTAATTCATCCCCCATAGTAATTCATCCCCCATATAGTAATTCATCCCCCAAAGTAATTCATCCCCCATATAGTAATTCATTTCCCATATAGTAATTCATCCCCCATAGTAATTCATCCCCCATATAGTAATTTCATCCCCCATATAGTAATTCATCCCCCATAGTAATTCACCCCCCATAGTAAGCATAGTAATTCATCCCCCATATAGTAATTCATCCCCGATAGTAAATCATCCCCCATAGTAATTCATCCCCCATAGTAATTCATCCCCCATATAGTAATTCATCCCCCATAGTAATTCATCCCCCATATAGTAATTCATCCCCCATAGTAATTCATCCCCCATATATAGTAATTCATCCCCCATAGTAATTCATCCCCCCATATAGTAATTCATCCCCCATATAGTAATTCATCCCCCATATAGTAATTCATCCCCCATAGTAATTCATCCCCCATATAGTAATTCAACCCCCATAGTAATTCATCCCCCATATAGTAATTCATCCCCCATATTAATTCATCCCCCGTATAGTAATTCATCCCCCATATAGTAATTCATCCCCCATAGTAATTCATCCCCCATAGTAATTCATCCCCCATATAGTAATTCATCCCCCATAGTAATTCATTCCCCATATAGTAATTCATCCCCCATAGTAATTCATCCCCCATATAGTAATTCATCCCCCATAGTAATTCATCCCCCATATAGTAATTCATCCCCCATATAGTAATTCATCCCCCATATAGTAATTTATCCCCCATATAGTAATTCATCCCCCATATAGTAGTTCATCCCCCATATAGTAATTCATTCCCCATATTAATTCATCCCCCATATTAATTCATCCCTCATATAGTATTTCATCCCCCACAGTACTATTCCCCCCCAAGTAGTAAGCCAAGTCCCCCCTGTGTCAATTCACTTACCTTTGCTCCGCGCGTTCCTCTCGCCGTGTTCCCGCGCCGTTCCGGTCTTCAGGGCGGACTGTGAGAGGAGCCTAGCTCCCCTCACGTTCGTCACGCTGCCCCGCCTACACACATCCTGACAGCCAATGTATCACGCTCCGCGGGTCGGATTAAAAGGTCCGCCGGGCCGTATACGGCCCGCGGGCCTTAATTTGCCCATTGCTGGCCTAGGCCCAGGAAACCCAACCAGGGAGAGACCAAACACACAGTTCTTAATGTTGTCATTTATCTCCTATATTGTATACAGGTTAGCAGTAACCCACATGGAAGAAAAATGTATTTGAAATATATTTTAAAAATATTCTTCCCTAATATATTGACATATATTTGGGAAGAATACAACTTTGTCCATATTCAATATATTTAAAAAAATATATATATATATATATAAAAAATATATATACTGTATGATGGAATGCATTGTTATCACATAACATATGAAAAATATTTTTAAAAATACATTTCAAATATACTGTATGTCTTTAAAAATACAAATCTACATTTTTGGAGCACATTTACAAATATATGTAAAAATATATGTTAAAATTACTTTTTCATATGTTAAAAAAATCTGAAGTATATATTTAAAAAAAAATATATATATATAAAAAATAATATTTTTTAAAATATATTCTACATATTATATAAAAAAGTAATTTGAACATATATTTTTACATATATTTGTAAATGCATTCCAAAAATGTCGATTTGTATTTTTAAAGACACAGTATATTTAAAATTTATTTTTTAAAATATTTTTCATATATTTTGTAATAAAAATGCATTTCAACATACAATATATGTGTGTGTGTGTAATATATATATATATATGTATAAATATGGCCAAAATTGTAGCATTTCAA